GGAAGGGGGGGCTATGAGGGGTCTGGGGTGGCATCCCCTCCCACCCCACTCCAGACCCCTCATAGCCCCCTCTTCTGATAGTCCGGCATATCTGATAATCCGGCACTCCCTGGGTCCTAAAGGTGCCGGATTATCGGACGTTTACTGTAGTTTGTTTACCTGAGTGTCCTAAAGTGCAACCTCTGATAGCTCCTGTTTACCGTGGTTTGATTTTTCTGATCAATTAAAGCTGCAGGAAGCTGGGCTGGGCCACTGCTTTCCATGACTCCCAATGGCTGGGAAAAGCAAACAGGAGATGCAAGTGCCATAACTTTAGATGCTCATGTAAACAAACAATCTGGCGGCCCACCACTGGCTAACCCTGGAGAACTGTGTCTGGCCTGCAGGCCGCTTATTGCATATCCAGGTTTAGAAAATAGTGAAAGCAAGCAAGTGAAATTACAATATGGCATCAAATGTATCAACAATAATGAAACATGCTAAAATATAGAATTGAAACTGTCCACTAAACAATTAGACGTACCAGAAAACTAGAGATTTTTTAAAGATCTTAAAACAACCACATTTTAAATAAAAGATATATTCAACATAGGTACAAATGAGATGAGTGCATAAGAATGAAACATCAGTACACTGTTACTGCACTTATCAGTGGGTTAAAAAAAATCAATATCACTGTACACATGCTATCTTTATTCCTTATTTTTTGATGAATGTTCATGCTTGCTAAATAATCTTCTGTCATTAAGGACATGTACATTGTAATTGGGATGTTTATAAAACTTTTATGATTGTTTGTTTATTTAAACATATTATTTGGCTGAGAAAATCTAGGTGCTTTTCTAGTCATTTAAAAATATTTTTCTTTTTAAACCAACATTAGAGCTGTATTTTCTCTGGTATAGAGGTGATTTCATATTTCTGATAACACTTGGACTAGGTAGCAAATAGTCTGCCTTCTCAAAATTGCAAAATAGTCAGAAAGCTAAATGGTGTTTAGGAAAAGTCGGATCAAAATCATTATGAGTAACAACACATCTGTTCTTATTTAAACACATTAGAAGATACAAATCGAAAAGAGACAACATTAATGTGATCTATTATCCCAGCATATTTTAAGTGGTTCAAACATTTAAAATATATGTATAAAGATTTGGTTGACAAAACTCTAATTATGAGTCTCATGTTTTCTGTTCTGTCCTTGGCTAGTATCCAGCTAGAAATATTTTCATCCCCATGACAGAGGACATTGTTCATGGCTTTGATCTTAGGTTTTTTATCTCTTGAAAGTGTTCAATGCACACCATTAATTTAGGCTTTTTAAAAACCTGTGAGTTAAAGTTTGCCCAATTATGTTACAACTTTGGAAAGTGTATTTATAGAAATATAGGCACCAATGCTAAGTTTAGAGTTAAGATTACAACACAAACCAGCAGAAGCTGAGAATTCGAAGTTAAAGAGGATGTTTTTTTCATAACTTACAAGGAAAAAAACTGAGAGAATTACAGATGACTTGAGAATTTTTTAAAAGATACACTATTTAAAAATAATTGTGGTGTGCCAAATAATAATACTGAATCATACGCAACAATAATATTCATCACCTTTTACGGCTCTCAGTGATATGCAGCTGCTGTCAGGATGAAACCTAATGGCTATTTAATGGTGCACAACAACATAAACTGCAAGCACTCTGGATCACCAAACTAGACTTGTTTGTCCCTTACCTCTGCAAAAGTCCATTTCAAGATCTCAGAACACTATGGCTCCATCTTTAGATATCAAAGAGAAGAT